TTTAAAGAGTAGGTCAAAGCCAATGAGTGGAAGCTCCAAGGAGGCAGATTTCTTATTAAAATAATTTTGATTGTTATTATCAATTTCCCAACCTAGCTGTTCTCCACCAATTTCTGTGACTCCATTCAACACCATGACTTTTCAACCCATTCTCACTTCTACTAGCATCAGCTTTTGACTCACAAAGTTTCTCTATTCTGTTTCAAATACAGTCTCTTTTTCCTTGTCAATTTCATTCTTTCCTCATAGATTCTCTTATTTTTACATGTGCTTTTGTAAGCATACATGAATGTGTTCATATTTTCATATAAGGATATGTGTTTTTATATTCATAAATGTGTGCTTGTGTAGACTTTATAGAATCTATAACTAAGTTTGGATCTTTCAGTTACATAATTGTGCCTAAGCTAAGTGAGAACTTTTTATTTTATTATAATTTATGTATGGACAGTAGGCACGCTATCAGTTAACTTCTTCCATACAGAGCCTAATGCATCTTTTTTGGTGGCTTTTTCTTTCCCCTATGATGAAAGAATGTGAATCATCTCTACTGGATTTCCTTGGTTTTTTTCCTTGGGGAAAAAAAAAATTGAAAGCAAAGTGTATTCGATAGGGCATACCTCAAGCTTTTTCTGGAAAGAATTTGTTGAACCAGTCAGAATTATAGTCTCATGTCAACATATACCAAAATTACTTCCAAAAATAAAACCTCTAGTGCTTTTTAGTTTGATACTATTCAGTTGATGGCAAAGAACTTTTGTTAAGTCCTTCCTATTATTTTGCAAAAAAAGACAAATTATCTAGTCATTGGGTGTAATTGAAACCCACAAAATGTTTTTTTTTTAAATAATATGGTACTTTTTTTAAAATAATAGTTAATTTTTACATCATTTTGTGCCTTTTTCATCTCAGTTGTAATCCCCATGGACTTCCCATCACCAATTCCCTCCCACCCCCTTCCCTCCTACCCTTTTTTTTCTCATTTCCTGTCCCACCCCCATAAAATGCCTCTGGTATGTAGTTGTTCATTATTATTATTTACTTTACCCCTGATCCTTTATGCTCCTGCTACGAGTGAAACTATCCAGTATTTTGCCTTTTCTTTCTGGCTTATTTCACTAAGCATGATCCCTTCCAGCTCCATCCATGTTGCTGCAAAGGGCATGAACTTATCTTTTTTATTGCTGAGTAATATTCCATTGTGTATGTGTACCATGTCTTTTTAATCCAGCCATCTACTTCTGAGCATTTGAAAACCCATAATTTTTTTTTATAAAAAACTCCAGAAATTAGCCTTAAAAGTTGAAGTACTTTTGGAATCAGTATAGGACAATGGAAAAATCTGGGATGTTGAATCAGAACTAGTGTTGTTATCACAACCCTGAAAGTTATGAGCAGTATGGCCTTGATTAAATTAGCCCTTCTATGCTTTCATTTTGTCTTCTAATGATAACACTACTTCATGGACTTCTCATAAAAATTAAATATGTGTATAATTCTCTTGTTCCTGGTACATAGTATTCATTTGTATTTGCCTGTCAAAAGTATCCCAATATTCATTAAAAATGAAAAAAAATGTAAGTAAAAAGCAATTGGGAAAATTGATAAATAACTTATGGCTCACATACTTGGTAGAAAATCATGTATTTTAGTGAATACATATTATATAGCTATATAGAAAATATAAAAATAATGTTAATTGGAAAAAAGAATTTCTTTCTAAAATATAACTATTTTTTCAAGTTTATATAAACATCATAGTATAAACTACTATTTTCTTCTTTTACACAGTGTTTTCAGTTTACTTTCTTAAATATGTTAACTGAAATGGCAGATGAAACACACCAGAAATAATTTCCCAGTATAACTGGAGTGAAAACTTGAGGAAAAAATTTAACAATCCAATTAAGATAAAAAGTCCATTAACCTATAATTTGAAGTGTGTCGCTCTCTAGTAACACAAAACCTAGTAGACATTGAACTGATATTTGTCACTCTTTTACCTCAAAACCTTATATAAGGGTTTATTTGTCCGCTTCAGTCTATTCACATTTAAAATGGAGAAATCCTAATCCTAGCTCTAGCCCTTTCCTATTCACGAAGCCCTTGGGAAGTTACTGTTGGGCAATATGTAAAGCAGTTGGAGCCTATTTTAGTGAGCTACATAATTTTTTTAAAGGATATTGTTTATTTGGACAGTAAGAAATGGCCTCCAGGCAAATCCTGCAAGGTGCTTCAACAGACATACACAGCTACCTTCCTGTTGGCACAGCCCAGGTTTGGCAGGTGTATTCCATTCCTTACAGGAAGGAATAGGTGCTTCATTGTGTTTCAGAAATCAGTAAGCTTTTACAAAACTAAGTAATTGACATTTTTCTCATTTCTGAGATCAAATTTTCATAAATCATTCAACTTGGATAAACTGAGAATGTGGTTGATCTAGTAATTGTTGAAATATAGAAGAGACATTGCAAAACATGATATTTAAGTATTTCCTCCTAACCTCTTACCTTAGTAAGATGAGTTTTAAATTGAAGGCTGTCTTAATGTCTTGAATGAAAACAAAAGTAAGATGAGGAGAAATTAAAAGAAAGCACAACACAGATTCATCTCAATAATTTGAGATTCCATTAATTCTGAATTTGTAGTGGTAGTAAGTGGAATAGAGCTTACTTTTACAAGAAAGCTTTTTAATGATACAGTGTCAAAGGATATATTTAACAAACTTGAAGTTAATATTTTCAGACTTTCACAATATGTACACTGAAATGTTTCCAGTTTATTAATATTTCCTCTGGGAGCCATTTGTTATAACTTAACTCAAGCTTCTTTCATATTTTAACAATACATGTAAAATTTCATATTAATAGACGACTGGATCAAGATGTTGTGGTACATATACATAATTGAATACGATTCAGAGAAAAAAAAGATAATCTGATGCCGTTCGCAGCAACATGTATGGACTTAGAAGGGCTGGTGCTCAGTGAAAGAAGTCAGAGAAAAAGAAAAATATCAGATGATTTCACTTATAGAAGTAATATAGGCAAACCAAATAAAAATACCAGATTATTTCACTTATAGAAGTAATATAGGCAAACCAAATAAGGGGTCAGGGAAAACAATAACAATTTAAAAATACAACAAAACTAAACAAACAATCAGACAACTATAAATCAGAGACATTCTACAGGGGAGGGGGAGAAGAGGGTACAAAATGAGAGCCAGAAGAGCATAAGGGGCTAAGGTGATGGTGCATTGGTGGTGAGAATTCTATGGGGGACTACATCTGTTGTAAAGAATATACAAATAAAAAGTTAAATATAAAAGAAACTTGAAACCAAAAAAATATTAAGACCTAGGATCTGAAATTACTAAACAGTACTCAAAGTGCTGTTAATTAAAATGTTTAAGTTGCAATGTAAAAAATATATATATATCAAACTGATCTTTGTCTTCCTCTTCTTCCACTGTTTAAATTTGTGAAACTTTGCCTTAAAGGATTCTTGTAGTGCTATGAATCATACTATTCGTAGTGAATAGATAGTGCTAGTTTCTAATCACAAGGAAAAGCCCAACTAACATCAATCTGTGAATATAGTGAATTATCCTGTGAGTGTTCCAGTTCACGTGTTTGTACACGTGTAAAACTGTTTTGGTGAATATACTACACTTAACCTATAATTTATATTTGAGAAATCTGTACTTGTAAACTGAGGTGAGATTTGCCTTTTCTCTAAGGTCACTACTATAGTCCTCAAAGCAAAGCTATTTGATGCACCGAGTTGTTTTATTTCATATCACTCTTTAACAAAACTCTTGATGCATGCAGAATCTTGCCATAAACTTGAACTGGTTTACAGTGTTGTCTACCGTGGTTTAGTCCATGTAACCAGGGTGTATGGCTCTCAGAATATCCTCATTCGTTCTGTGTCTACCTCCGAGCTGTGTTTATTTTCAAAGGCCCCTCATGCATGGATCCATATAAATGAGGCAAGCTAGAGCAGACAGGGCTGTGTTACTCCCCAGCCTTGAGGGAGGGAAGATTGTGTATATGGAAACTGCTGGGCATGATATTCACTTTTAAGGAAGATTTCTGTAACATCAAGCAAGATTTTTGGTTGAGGTTTAATGCTTCTAGTAAGGAAAAGAAAAAGAAAAAACAATCAATAGTCTGATTCCATCACTTTTTGTCAAACAAATTTCTCCCTGATCCATGTGACTGTCTCCCTCCCATAGAGAATGCTAAGCACACTGCAGAATGGACTTCTGAACTTTTGACTCTGTTTTCAGTGTGCTTGGTGAGTTAATCAACTAAAAGATCAGTTCTTTGACTAAAAGCATACTCATTCCTAACCTATTTGTACCGCTCAGAAATAGAAACATATTTTTTTTAGGTTATACGGGAAGTCTGTTATTATTTGTACACATTTAAATTATTTTCATGCCACTGACACATGAAGTTTTTCCCATCACCACCTATATTCAGGCTTCATTCTCATTGTGTGAACATATGAAAATATAAAAAAGGAAATTTAATGACTTAAGATATAATGTACAAACATACAATATACCAAAGTGTCACTTATTTAGCAAAGTAAAGGTGTAAGATTGCTCATATTTCTGTATTGAAATGTATTTCTTAGGTAAAAATCAGTTTGAAACTGTTGTACAATTAATATGCCATTGTGGTATCGCATGGTAACTGATTTATTCACAACCTTAATACAAGTAGGTAAATGTATTGAAATGAGTATCTTATTTTTCATACAGCACCTAATGCTGACATAATCTGAGTATCTGGGATAAAGTTTGTGATGGTGCTTTTTTTAACCTCAAATCCTTGGCACTCTGCACTGTGTGCTTGCTTACAGTAATGCTTTGTTTAACCTGACTACCAGGACTGTTTGGTCACAGGCAAATACTGTCCTTTTTCAGCCTAAACATTCTGACAGTAATTACACTTTTTATATTCTCTTCCCTCCCTGCCCCCAACTCAGATTGGAAAGGCTGGTGGACGTCCTGAGGAAGAAGGTTGGAACAGGGACCATGAGGACAGTGATCTGACTGAAAAACGACAGTCTGGGGAAGCGATCACATCTGGTGACCAGGCTGCTTCATTCAACACTGTGTAAACACTAAAGCCTTAACTTAGCAAACAGTTGTTAGAAGTGGGACACTCCAACCACATTCCAAGCTGAGATAAAATCAAATCACAAATGTTTAACCACTTTGCTGCTGACTTGAGTTACTTATCCAAATGTGTTAGCTATAGACTTTTACCAGTTGGGTAGCTCTAAAGTTGTAACTAATTCGGTAACTATTTTATATCTCAAAGTATATAACATAAATCTTTTTACTGATAGACTATTTTAGGTATAGTAAAATTGATCAGGGTCGTATCTTCACATATGGCCCTTTCTGAATGAAAATGCAGCAAAGTAAATATTATCTAAACCTTAATCCACTGTGTTAGGTCAGAACTTCAGAGACATACATTTTCCACATAGAGTTTACTTCTTAACTTATGAGAGAGGCTCAGACTTAACAATTTGTAGTTTTCCTTCAATGCCTCCATGTAATCTTTGTTATTATTAAAGTACATGAGGTGTAGATGCTAAGCATTAAATATAATTTGCTTTAATGAGAGTTTAGTACATTGCAGTATATTTAGTACTGATCATGCATGATTTTTGTCTCATTGCAAATAATACAGACTTTTCAATAAAAAGAAGATATTGTTATGATGTACTTCTAAATTCATGTAGTCAGTATTTTTTTTACATTGGATCTGAATAATTATCTGAACTTTAAGTTGTAGAAATTGCCAGTTAGCATGTTCCAGCATGTCTGAATCCTAAAAGGGAAGAGGTCATCAAACAAGCTAAGTATTCTTTTTCATTATCTTGACTTATAGTGCCCTTTAAATTTTTGTTGTGAGGAATGTAATATATAATATAAAATAAAATTATAATGTAAAAATAGGAAGACTTGGTGAAAAACTAAATCTGCAATGTATGCAATTTAACACACCCCATTTATTTGGTGTTGCTTTTATGCAAGAGATAGAATAGTTACAGCATAGCAATCACTAATCATGAAATTATGAATAAAACTAAGATTTCTTAACTACAGGAAAACATATTTTTTCAATTGAATAGATGAGAGACCAATAGAAAATGGCTGTCCTTAGAACAGGACAAATAGATGTGAAGAGACCGAGTTAGTGAAAAGTTTATAAATAAATGAAATTTTTCTAAGTCAGTATAATTTTTCTAATTCACCTTTAAACCTGAGATGAATTACCTGCCATTGTCTACTTTCAGGAGCAGTATTAAATAATTGATCATACTTTTTTCCCCTTCATTACTGGAAATCATCCATTTGAAGTTTTTCACTCTGCAAGAAAATGTAAGGTGCTTCTCATGGGTGACAAAATCATGTTAACAAACTCTATTTCTGCTTTTTTACATCCAATAAATTAACCTGCAGTTGGAGTGTTTCCTTTGACATCAATTTGATAATTTACTTGTGTTGACTGCTTTAAGTGATCTTTTTGTAGAATAATGAACAGAGAACAACAGGGGTTAAAAGTAAACTAAACTGGACATACTCCATCGTGCTGAAGAGAAGTAGAGCCTCCCATAGACTAGGAACTATATAAATACAGAAATATGGAATAATTAATCACGGAGTCTCCTCTGGACTCTGATTCAAACACCCTATATGGAAGAACAGCACCTTTGAAGCTATACAGGTAAGTGGAGAGAAATAGTTCTTGTTGCAATATAGTACATTCATGAATCCTTTTCAAATAAATCACAAGCAAACTTGAATTTCAATCTAATCCAGAAGAAAAAACAAGTCCATTTGCTTGGGTTTTATAAACACAAAGTGTAGCATAAATTTTGACATTTTATAATTTCCAGACATCTCTTTCCATCCTTAAATCGGACAACCAAGTCCTGTAATCAATATGTATAACATTTATAGAATTTGATATACAATAATAAATATATAACAGCCCTGTGTCACCTACTATTGCCTTAGATAGGTAATCTCCCCAAAATATCATCCTCGAAATGAGCTGGCTACAAAATTACAAATGTTAATTATACAGTCAAATATTATCATTAATTGATTTCTTGCATTTAAAAGGAATAACCTTGCTCACTGAAAATCAGTTATATATATATTCAATAACAATACAACTTCCAAAGTATTCTACACTGGCCAGAGGTGTTGCCCTGAGTTTGTTTTAAATACTATATTAAACTACAGTTACATGAGAATTCACTTCTCCTTGTAAAAATAAGTAGCTTAGAGGAAAGGCAGAAAACATAATACAAACATGTGGCACCTGACGAATTAGAAAGGCCTTTCACATCTGGTTTTTTTTTTCTTTTGACCCAATCAACAATCATATAATAATATTAGTAAATTAAACTAAGCCACTTTTTTCACCAGACACTATTAGGTTGTTGATAACTCTTATTTACAACTACTTTTCCATTCCATCATTATCTATATACATGATATAACTATGCAGGTAAGTATATGCACATAAATACATTTGCCTTTTTAAAAAATTGATTTACAAGTGAACGGGTAGGCTCCAGTTCATTTCAACATTTTGTTCAGGTTTTATTAGAAGTGCACGTGGTTTCTGAGGCTTTTAAACAAATACATGGAATGGTTGAAAGATTTATATTGCTCATGCTTAGCTAAATATGTCATCTCTAGAAAAGATGTGGTTTATTTTGGCACTGTTTTAAAAACTCAAATATTTTAAACATTTGTTAAGTTGGAGCTTGCATATTGGAACTAGTAGCATACGTTCCAGAATACCATCTCAAGTTACCAAACTTTTTGTAATCCTTTTACTAGAATAACCTTTTCTAAAGGTTTTTTTTTTTCTTTTAATTATGTACTCTTAAGTTAAATTTATAAAAGTTGAAGTTGTTATTTATTAATGTAGTATATAGTAAATAGAATTGGACCATGGTAAATGTGTATTTTCCTGAGAATATCAAAATATAACATGTATTTTTTTGCAGAATTCTTAATATCCTTATTTTTAATTTTATTGTTTGCTAACCAAATTTTGGAGTACACTGGTTCTTTGCAAGCCACCAGTTTCTTTATTTTTGATTGCTAACAAAGTTGCACTTACATGCACAAGTTCAAATTCCTAAAATATATATTGCCTTTTTAGTCACATAAAAGCCCATATTGCTACAAGTCCTACACATTCCAGTGCAGTTCTTAATATTGATCTTAATCAAATGTTTAAGTATACAGTCCCAATGATAAAATATATTGCAGTAAGGAAACAGACTAAGTCATCATCAAACTGTATTTGACTTCCTTAACAAGTATAATAAAGGTAAAAGTAAATATGGGCAGGTTTGTTAGGTACTTGAGGAACCTTTCAAAACTATCCAGGTCCAGAAAATAAAGGGAAACATTATTTTTGGTAAATAGGGTGAGAAAGAACATCAGGTTCTTTTAACTTTAAATAAACTGAGTCAACTCTCCTAGAAAGCACCTCTGCTAATTTTGCAATGTGCCTATGGATTTTGTGGGTAACCAGTAGTTGAAATCTAAAAACACTCCATCTGTGTTGATTGTTCAATCTTGATAAAATGTAAATAGACTATGTAACAGTCTAGCATTTGCAGTGAACTTAGAATTTAAAGCTTCAGATACTTGACTATAACCAGACCAGGGTGGAGTGGACAGTAGGAGTCTTAGAGCAAAGATCCTATAAAGGTAATATCTAAACTGTCAGAATACTGTGTAAAAAAAGTTTTCTCATGTATGGACTTTGTCATACATTTCACTTCCATCCATGTACATAATAATATTTTTCTGCTTTACACAATTAACTGTTTTTGAGGAAATTTCTAAAAATAAAAACATTATATTGTATTTGTTATTCCAGTGTAGATTTATTTAACCTTTTCTTTGTATAGATCCATGTCCACCTCTTAATATTTTGTCTTCCTGAAGTGTTTATTATAGTAATGCGGGGCTCTGAATGTTGAATTTTTTCAGCTTCTGTATGCCCAAAACTGTCGTGTGTGTATGTGTGTGTGTGTAAACATTTTTTTGCTGCTAATAGAATTTTAAGTTAATGTTTTTTTTTCGGTTTGGGTATTTTGGGTTTTGTTCGCTAGTATTTGTAGAGTGGTGTTCTGCATTTCTCTCTTTCTTCTCCAATTGTCATTCTCATTTTTGTTCTCTGTGTATAATATGCCCACTGGCTGCTGTAAAGGTTTTCCCTTTGTCACTAGTTTTACCAATTTTATTATGATATGATGTTTATTTTTGCATGCTTTTGTGCTTATGCTAAGTTGAACTTCTTAGGCTGTGGGTTTATAATCTTGAACAACTTTTCTAAAATATCAGCCAGTATTTTTATCAATATTTTTTGTCCCCAATTCTATTTTCTCTCCCTCTAGATCTAGTACTTAACATAATATGTATATTAGGCCACTCAAAGTTATCCTACAACTCATTCATGCTTCATTCTTTTATTTTCCTAACTTCTTTCTTTCTCTGTGTTTCATATTTGGATAGTTCCTGTTGCTTTTGTCTTCAGAGACACTAATCTTTTCTTTCATAGTGTCTTTTATTCCTATCGTGTCTTTCTTTTCACAGACATATTTTTCATTTCTAAATATTAAAAATTGACAAATTTTATTTCATATTTCTTCTTGAATTTTTCATGTTATATATTATTTTCTGAAATATAAAAAAGTAGGGTAATAACTTTTTAAATATCCTTATCTGTTAATTCTATCATCTGTTCTCATTCCAGGTCTGTTTCTATTAATTTTTTTTTCTTTATAAATTGTATTTTCCTGCTTTACATGCCAGGTAATATTTTTTGGTTGCCAGTCATTATGAATTTTATCTTACTGGGTTTGGGAGGTTTTTATTTTTTTTTTTTAAGATTTTTTTACAGAACTGGGGTACAGGCCAGAGGTGCAGGGGCAGTGAGAGGATTCACCAGAGACAGAGTAGGGAGCAGACCAGGCCAACTGTTGAAGTACACTGCTGAGGGGAGCAACAGGAAGGTCAAGAGAGGTCTGTCTGCCATGTGGGTCACCTCCGGGGCGGGGATCGAAATCATGAGGAAGTGGCTTTAATTTCTTAGTGCTGTGCTTTAACCTGCTGCATCACCAGGGAGGGCCCCCAGGTTTTTATTTTTAATTATTTTTTTATCTTTGTCATGGAATTTACAACAAGTTACATCTCTTGATAACAGTTGATCTTTATAAAGCTATGTTAAGCTGCAGTAAGCAGGACCACAGTACCTCTAGTCCAAGAAAGAGATTTGCCCCCACAACTTAGGAAATTCTGTTCTGAATGTACTAGCTGATTCCTGTGTAAAATGAGGCTTCTCTTCTCCAACTGATTTCAACCCTGTGTGAGCTGGGTTGCCTACATTGTCCTGCCTGCACCATTCTGGAGATTCCTGGCCTTGTCTAGGCAGTTGCCTCACATGCAAATGTTGATCACTAGTCAGAAGCCTGGAGGAATGCACCACATCTATCCAAAACCCATATACTCCCTCACTCCCCACTCTGCACAGTATCTCTCCTCTCCAGGACTCTAACCTGCAAATTCTGATGGTCTTGGCCTCCCCAAATGCTCTACTCTGTGCTCAACACAGGAAGTCAGCCAGGCTCTGTTGGGTCCCCCTCCTTACACTCTGCTCTGTACACTCTCCAGATAGTTAACT